AGTCTCAGAAGATAAACAATTAGAGAACAGAGAAGTAGAGATCAGAGATCAGAGAATTAGGCAGCATAGTAAAAATCATGATAAATAAAAGAGAAGAAAAAGACCATCAGAGCAGTGAGCTTGAAGTCAATCATTTTGACTACAAATATTAAGAGGAATCATCAACAAAAAAGTGATATAATCAGAAGAAACACTGATAATATGTAGGACACCATTAATCAAAATAACTTAGGTCTCACTAAGATTCCAGAGCATCAAAAAGAAAACAAAAAAATAGTGCCAGAAATTATGGAAGAAAATTTCCCCAACATTATAAAGGAGGAGTAAATAAAAATTCAAGAAGGTAAGACAACCCCAAATAGACTAGAACCCAAAAGAAAAACATCATAATATATCATAATCCAACTCTAATGTCATGAAAAAGGAAAAATCCAGTTAGTTAAAAGAGAACACTCACATCCAAAGGACAAATAAAATTAATATCAGACTTTTCTCAAAAACAATATAGGGAAGACAGTTGTGTGGCAAACAAGGAGGGAACTCCCACCCCAAATGAAAAAAAATTTCCTCTGGGTGAAGCTTCAGTAGGGCACATTTTTCCTGCTAAGTGAGCATCAAGCAACTTGTTCTAAATTAGTGCACCTAGTGGCATCACTTGGGAAGGTTCTCTCTGGTCACGGTGATTTTTTTTTGTAAAAGCAGTTTCTCTCAAACCTCATATTTTGTGATGGCCAATTTAAGAGAACAGCCTGTGGCTGTGAAATTTTGTTTCCTGCTGTGGAAAAATGCAGAAGCTGTTGTTATGTTGAATACAGTTTACAAGCAAAGTGCTCAGAGAAAAACTGAAGTGTACAGGTTCTAAAAAGTGTACGAGTTTTCTCCTTTCAAATATGGTGGAATGTAAATTGATGACAAACCTCATTCTGGACATCTTTCAACTTCCCAAATGGATGAAAATGTCAACAAAATTCATACATTTTTGTTTGAAGACTGATGACAGACCCTTGAAGAGATGGGGAAGTTATCTGGACTCTCTTGGAATTTTAATGGAAGATTTGGCTATGAGAAGGGTTGATGTGAAACTTGTGCCTCAGGTGCTGACTGACCAGGAAAAGGAGCATCGAGTAAAATTCACGCAGCCATCGCAACTCACCAGCTTTTTGTAAAAACAAAACAAAACAAAAACAATAACAAAAACAGCATGCTTCTCTTCCTTGCCCCACACACCTGACTCACATGACCTTGCTAAGTAGAACTTCTCTTTATTTCTGCGAATGAAGAGGGACATAAAAGGAAGCAATTTGATGATGTAGAAAAGGTGAAGAAAAAAAATGAGGGATGTGCTATCAGATGCATTTGAAAAATGTTTCCAAGAATGGAATCACTGTTTTGCCAAATGTATTAAGTATAAAGTAGAGTACTTTGAAGATGATAAGATTGTTTTGTTTTTTAAAAAAAATTAAATCCACAGCTTTGAAAAAAAAATTCCAGTTTTTTTTGGGTACCCCTCATATATAAAATACTGGGGGGAGGGGAAGCCTGCCAACCAAGAATGTTATATCTATCAAAATTATCCCTAAAATACAAGAGAGAAAAATGTATTTCTAGGCAATTAAAAACCAAAGGAATTCTAAAACCAAAACACACATTTCAAAAATCATTTGCCAAATCTCTATGGGTAGAGAATGAACAATAGCAGACAAACCTGAGAACACTGTACAGCACAACATGACACCAAACCTGTAGAGTGAAAACATCTAAAATAGCACAATAATATATGAGGAAAAAAGACACCAATAAAATTACGTGAAAATGGAAGAGAAACTTGGTAGTACTTAATTTCTTGTAAACTTGAAGATATTTAAAAGTGTAGGGGTGGGGTTTAGCCTGTCAGTCAGGTTGCAGCCTGATAAGTTCACTTGGAAGTGCAACCAAGATATACAGCTCTCAGGAGTCTGGCTTTTCTCTCTATGCCTTCAACGTCCTGTTCGCTGGCCACCCAAGAGGTACTGGACCCCTGTCATATTCTCTACCACCTTTGGGTTCACATAATCTTGCCCCCCACCAGCCAGTGGTATTCCTGCATTCTGCTTCATATCATGGGGATATCTGAGTCTTAAAAGGGACTTATGCACTTGTATCAGACTTATGGATTGAGTTGGAAAGGACTGGGATGTTTTCTTGATATATAATTACTTCTTGATGTAAAGTTTTCTTATACATACATGAGTCTCTCAATGGTCAACCCAGCCTAACACAGAAAACAAACACAAACAAAACAAAATGAAAATTATAAACCTTCATATATCAATACTGGCACTGAATGAAAATGGATTAAATGCACCAATCAAAAAATGAGAGTAGCAGACTGAATTAGAAAGCAAGACCTATTGACTTGCTGCTACCTGAAAGAGAAAAACTTTAAACTAAAAGACATAAGTGGAGTAATAATGACAGGATGATCAAAAACCTATCAAGCCATAGACATCCATAAAAGTCAGGAGTGACAATATTCAATTCTGATAAAGTAGAAATCAATACGAATAATATAAGAAGATAAAAGAGCAGAAACAACATAATGAATAAAGAAACAGTACACCAGGAAGCAAACAAACAAACAAAAAAACCTTACTGCCATTAATTTAATTCTGCCTTGTAGTGAACCTGTAAGACCAGGTAGAACGTCCCCTGTGAGTTTTTGAGACAGACAGTCTTTATAGCAGTAGAAAGTCTCATCTTTCTTCTGCAGAGTGGCTAGTGCTTTTGAACGGCTGACCCTGTGGCTAGCAATCCAATGTGTAATCACTATGCCACTAGAGCTCCTTACATTGAGAATATGTAACCATAATGAACATATACACACCTTTGAAAGATCCTTGAAATCCAACCAAATTCTCATAGAATTTAATAAAGAAATTAATATTTTGACAATGATAGTAGGAGATTTTAGCACCACACTCTCAAGACAGATCATCAGGAAGAAAACTCCAAAAACAGAAATGCTAACCTACACAATCAACAAACTTGACCTCCAAACATATACCCAGTACTTTACCCAACAACACAGTATACAATCTTCGCAGGGCACACAAAGTATGGTATATTCTACAATAGATTACAGGTTAGGCACAAATCAAGCCAAATTCCCCTTAGTAGATTAATGGATGAAGAAACTTTGGTAATATGCGCAATGAAATATTATGCATCCTTAAAGCAGTGATGCAACTATGAAACATATGATAAATTTAATAGATCTGGGAACCAATATGCTGAGTTAGTCCATCACACAATGGGAAATGCTGCTTGAGTCCAATATTTTGAAGAAATACATCTAGACAAAGGCAGGCTTCTGCTTGCTGCTCTCTGAACATGCACTTTTCTAATCCTGTTTCTCAACCAACCAGGTATTGAGGCTGCCTAGTACTCAAGAACCATATGTCACCCCTTTGTTTGTAGAACTTAAAAACCACTGACACAGGAGACTTTACCTCAGCTGAGATCAGTTTCTCAAGATGGAAAGAAAAGGAGAAAACCATTCAATTGCTTTCATACAACATTGTTCTGACATCACCCTACATCAAGAGCCACTCCTACAAGAGTGATTAGTGAAGTTTACTAGAAATTTAAGTCAAGATGTAGGTTCGTTGGTAGAAGTGGCTGGGTGGTGGTGGTGGTGTCTGTCTTGGATTACACTTATATTATTACTTTTGTGTTGGTGAATTACAGATTTCTCAAATATACAAAATCAATGTCACTGATATTCATTGTTTTATGTCTCTGCCTAACTCATAGTCTACTTTAACAAGGGGTTGCATGATAAGTGAATTAAAGTTTAAGTGGTGAAATTTGGACCAACTAGAGCCCAGGGGTTCAAGCTTCACGGAAAACATTAACCAAAAACAAGGCTTCAGCAATTGATGGACTACCTATTGAAACATTTCAACAAGCTGATAAAGCACTGGAAGCACTTATTTATTCCAAGACATTTGGAAGAGAGCTCCTTGGTTAACTTACTGAAAGAGATCAATACTTTTACTCATGACAAAGAAAACTGACCCAACAGAAAGCTCAAATTATAGAACAGTATCATTGATATCACATGCAGGTAAATTTTTCTGAAGATCATCCAACAATGTTTGTAGTAGTACATTAACATAGAGCTGCCACATATTCAAATTATATTCAGAAGAGGATGTTGAACAAGGGATATTAGTGCTGATGTCAGACAACTCTTGGCTGAAAGCAGAGAACACCAGAAAAAATGTATTTGTGTTTTATTGACTGTGACATGGTGTTCAACTGTGTATCAAAACAATCTATGGGCAGCCTTGAAAAGAATGGGAATATCAGAACATTTCCCTGTGCATATTCAGAACTTGTACATGAATCAAGATAGAGTTGTACAAACAAAATAAAGGAATATTTCATGTTTAAAATCAGGAAAGGTTTATCAGCATTGTATCTTTTCACAATATTTTTTCAATCTGTATGCCAAACAAATAAACAGAGAAATTGGATCATATGAAGAAGAATTTGGCATGAGGATTGGAAGAAGGATTATTAAGAATGTATGGCACACAGATAAAAAAACCTTGCTTCCTGAAAGTGAGGACTTGAAACACATCCTGATGAAAATCAAGGTGAGAAAACAATGCCTATAAATGGGGGAACAACTAGGGAATCAAAATCAACAAAGAGGAGGACATACAGATCTGAGATCCTGGGGGTATTGGAACAACAGCAATCTAGCTGAGAAGAATTACAAGAGGCATAAGAAGGACAAGCATGATGGTGGGTTAGGAGGAAGGTCAAAGGAAATAGAGGAAAGAGTGAGGAAGCAAATCTATGGATAGAGGTAGAAGAATTAAGAGCCCCCAATAAAATGATCTTTTTATTAAAATAAATAAATAAAATAATGTCATAGGTTCTATTTACTAGGAAAATATTATAGTTTCTAATTCCCTTCTTTTCTACATAGTTCTAGAGTTGAGGAGGTTAAAATGACTTATCAGCCTTTAGGCTAAGATCAAGTGTAGCATCAGTTATTATCAGTTTAATATAGCTGAGGATGTTAGAAGTAAACATGACAATCCATATATAATGATCCCAAGTCTTAGGACAATGTATTTTCCCTGATTTTGTCTGCTATAACTCTACACTTGTACTCGACGATTTTGTAAGGTCCTTTGGAAGCAAGACCTCACTCAATTGAAAATTAGCTTATAAAATCTAAACACCATTTCACAAGTCACATATTTCTACTGAAAAATTTTAAAATTCTAAAACAGGCCTTATATTAATCTTTGTTATTACTCACCTTACTATATCTCAAATATCTTTCTACACTAATTCTTATGTATAATGAATTGAATCAAAATATATTTTGATCTAAATTAAAAAATGATAAACAAAATTTGATTGTATTTTCATTCATAGCTAACTATCTCTAATGACAACAAAAGTAGAAACAAAAGCTAAAATTTCAAAATACTTTTCAAAAGGGTACAACTAAAAGCCACAAAATCATGGAATACTTCATCTTCAAGGCACCATGTGAAGAACAGAAAGAAGGTTGCACGGAATGCACGTACCCAGTGATTAGAGTTCTCTAAAGGACGTTGGTGCAGACCAAGAAAAAGAATGGTTAAAAGGGTTTCAGTAGCCGTCATCATTGTTGACAAGTTGGATACTCACACACGGCATTCCTCAGGGCAATCTCAATGAAAGGAAATCTATGTTCATGAGCACTTCAAAGTAACGATTCCTAAAACCATAAGTCTATTATTCTTGGGTCCATACCAGCCTTAAGGACTGGTCTGACTTGGTGAAGAGATTAACTGACATCCACAGTGTGAGTCACTTTTGTTATTAAAAGCTTAGTAACAGGTGTCATTTGTTTTAAAAAAATATTACATTCAGAATGTAATTAAGAAAGATAATGCTTTGAAAATGATGATGGTGGCATATGTGCAAATGTGCTTGACACACTGGATGAATGTATGGCTTGTGATAGAGATGTAAGAGCCCTCAATAAAAGTATTATATTAAAAAAAGAATATTCACATTTTCATGCCTCTCCTATAGCTTTTCCATTTAAAAAGTCCTCACTGTTAGATCATTAGACAACATCAAGATACACAGAGTGAGAATGAAATTGTAAAAGATTTTATTTTACTTGGGCTCATAACTCATACTCACAGAAGCACACACAAACTCATGACTCTCAGGTCACCTCTCCATCAGGGCTCCTCCTGATGGAAGAGCCACACTCAGGAAGTCTGTGGCTGTGTGTTTTATTGGATACATTTTCTGAACAAGATCTGTCTGTCTATCTATCTATCTACATATACACAAATATATTATAAATACTTTTATTGAGGGTTCTTACTATCCATTTGAGGGTTCTTACTTGTTATTACTGTAATCCATACATTCATCCATTGTGTCAAGCACATTTGCACATATGCCGCTATTATCATTTTCAAAGCATTCTCTTCCCACTTGAGCCCCTGATATCAGCTCCCCATTTCTGCCCCTCCCTTCCCTACCTTCCCTCCCTCAAGAACCCTTGATAAGTTATAGATGATTATTTCCATATTTTACATTGTCCTCTGTTGCCCCTCACCCACTTTTCCATTATTTGTCTCCCTAGGAGGAAGTTCTAGATTGATCCTTGTGATCAGTTCTCCCTTTCTTTCCCCACTCTCCCCTAATCCTCCTCGTACTCTACTGTCCTTGTTGGCCCTGGGGGGTTTATCTATGCTGGATTCCCTGTGTTGCGGGCTCTCATCTGTAGCAGTGTGCATGCTTTGGTCTGATCTGATTTGTAAGGTAGAATTGAGGTCATGATAGTGGAGGGAAGGAAGCACCGGAGAACTCGAGGAAAGTTGTGCAATTCATCAGTGCTATATTGCACCCTGACTGGCTCATCTCTTCCCTGTGACCCCTCTATGGATGTCCCCTTTTGTACAGATGGGCATTGGGTCTCCACTCCATGCCCCCCCTTTCATATAGGGTATGGTTTTGTTCTGGGTCTTAGATGCCTGATACCTGATCCCATCGACACTTCATGATCACACAGGCTGATGTGCTTCTCCCATGTGGCTTTTGTTGTTTCTTCAGACCTTTAAGACCCCAGATGGTATGCGCTATCATGATGGTGTTGGTGAAGAAAGTTGAAAGTACCATGAACTGCCAGAACAAGCAAATCTTTCTTGGAAGAAGCACAGCCAGAATGCCCCTTAGAAACGAGGATGGCAAAATTTCATCTCACTAATTTGGGCATGGCATCATGAGGGACAAGTCCCTGGACAAAAACATCAAGCTGCATAAAGTAGAGTCGTTAAAAATAAAATAAAATAAATGAAGGCACCCAAGGACATGGATTGACATGGTCCCTACAATAAAAATTGTGAGGATGGTGACACACTTGGTGCGAGACTGAGCCACTTCTGTTCTGTTGTTCATCGGGCTGCTTTGAGTTGGAAGCAACTCTTCAGTCTGGAAAATATTTTCTTCTTTTTTTATATTAGAAGTATCAGTCTTTGTTTGGCAGTAAGATTTGTTGTATTCACCAGCAAACCAAGTGTGCATTTTGTTCTTCTTCTTCTTCTATTACATTGCCTTTTAATTGTGCCTCAAATGCCATAATTAATAAATACTGAGAGACAATGGGATCAATGCAACAAATTTGGAAATACCAGATTCTGAATGAGTTTTATTCAACTATCACTTAATGTCAAGTTAAAGAGTAAGTTAGGATGGGTTGTATAAATAAACAAAACCAGTGACACTCATATATGTATAAGTAAGAACTTTATATCAAGAAATAATTTTATATAAAGTAGGTGTCCCTGTCCAGTCTAACTCAAGTCCATGGGGTAGATGCTAACTGGAACCCTCTTCAGAGTCACAGACTGAGGAAGCTGAAGTATGTGTCTGAGGGCCAGGGGTCTGAAGCTGAGTAATACGATGTAAATCCAAGGTTGGCAGGACCATGGCAGGGCACCCATAGCTTCTTGGGTGGTAGGCTCACATGGGGCCACCCCTGGAGGCAGACACAGAATCCATGCAAGTGGGGAGGATGACGGACATAAGAGAGAATTTCTCACTGTGTCTCATAAAAGGGCCACACTCCCCAGGAGGCATCACCAGGCTACCATCAGATTGACAGGTTGTGCTCCACTCCTACCTCCACACAGATACCATCAAGTTAGCTTAAAATCTAACCACCACAGACCATCCCTTTTCAACTTGACACCTGTACATGACTCTTTAAGTAAACATAATTTCCAAATACCATAACAAGGTACAACTAAAACATGTACAATCAAAAAGGCACCAGCCCCATTTACATCTAATAGTCTAGAAATAAACCAAACAAAATTACTTCATGCCTATCAATTACAGGTCTGTGAGCACATATATCTGGATCATATAATTCCATCAACATGCTCCCTTCACTTGCTTTTCTCTAGACACATTAGGAAAAGAGAAAGCTATTCAGTGGGAATCTACCCTTGTTCCACTTACTTAGGACTAGACACCCATGGAAGTTTGTAAGTAAGACACTTCATGCCTTTATCACCCCCTTTTGACTCTTCTAGGCTGCCTGCACATTCTTTTTAACCAACAGCCCTACAGCGGTGGTCTTCTGACTTCACAAACTTTGCTGACCTAGGCACACATGCCCAGGCAAACTGCTTGCACAAAATTTAAAAAGCCAAAGCATTAATTTTTTTCCTTCAATCCTTCAGCACTTTTAGTTACAAGTCTTTTCAAATGTAAATGTCTAGACACTCAAAGCATTGGGTGGGGCTTTTTTTTAAAAGCCCTATACCATGGGTTCAAATAAACACCCATTTCTTCCAGGCAGTCCCTAATTCTCCTTTGGCCACTTTAGACTCGTATTTCTGCTTTATTGATGTGCGACTGTGTGAGTCTGTAGAGGGCTTCTCCTAGCATCAGACTCATGGACTTGAGTTGGACTGGTGTAGATGCCGTCTTGATATAAAGTTTTTCTTCTACATTTATGAGCATCACTCATAATATATATTAAGAGTGTCACTTATACATTATGAATGCCACTCATAAGTTTTTGGTTGTGTATAGTTTATTTCTCTAAATAACCCAGCTTAACACAGTACATACTATGCTTAATTCTGTAGTTGACTGGCAACTTGGTGCTTGTGCTTACACTGCCAGCTAGTTAATTCCAACTCCTATTGCCACCTTTGAAAAGTTCACAGAGAAACAGCCAGAAGAAAGACTATCAGCGGGCCCACTGATTGCTTCGGGGAAGAGGGATGTGCTCCATTTGTTTATGTTTTCTTGTACCTGAGGGCCAGCTTAAGCTTGTGTTTGCAATATTACTTTTGCTTAGTGATTGAGTACTATAGTGCAAACCCAAATCTATGACTTGGGGGGTCAAACAGATTACTGTTTATCATGGGCTTTTCAGATTGATTGGTAGTAATATCACATGTTTGGCTCTAACCAAAGGCCAGGAAACATTCAGAAACTATTTCCCCTAAAACAGACATGCAAGACTGGGCAACTTTGTTTCTGAACTATATTAGTTATGGTGCAATTTTTTTTATTAGGAATTGTCTTAAGTTTCATAAATCATTATATACAATGGATAGTTTTAAACCACAGAATATTTTAACTATTGGGCCAAATTTTAAAACAATTTTCACAGTGGTTTGAACTTGCTGAGCAGTCTTCTTTTGCTCACTGCTCCTATTAAATAGTCAGATTCATGAGTTAGTCAATAAATGGGTTAAAATCACATAACATATTTGAATCAATATATTTTATATTACCTCCAGAGTCCATAAAAATCTAACAGACTGTGTTGTAGGATACAGCAAGTTTTACTTAATGTTTTTTGTCATTAATATGATGTTCTTCAAAAGAGAAAGATGGTTTGCTCTTCAGAGCAAACTATTTCTGCAGGGTAGAGTGCTAACGTAGCCTCATTCCTGAGTGACATTGTCCTGCTGACCAAACCAGAGTGGAGCAAACTGCTTCTGGTGTCCTGATAATAAGTAGAAAGAACGCTGACAAAACTGTGAAATAATAGTTGTGTGGCAGTTATTGGGTAGTGTCAATTTTGTCACATCGGAAATAGTAGCTAAAATTGAAGTCTGGAGATTAAATTTACAAAAATCAATATTAATTTCCCCAAATGTATCGCTTCTTTAGAAAGACAAAGGATAAAGTTAAATAAAGAAGATACGTTGGGAATCACCATTCCTACAACTATCAATTATTTGATGGCAGTATTCATTCTAAAAATTGTCCAGACAATGGCATTAATTTGGTAGGGAGTTAATTTCCAGAAACTTATGATTTAAAATTTTCTAAATACTGGTACGTTTGATCTCTGGTATCAAGAAACAAAGAAATAATGATAGTAGATGTTTCCCCCCCAGATTAATACTATTCTGAAAAAGGTTACTAAGAATATCCTTTAGACATTCTTGGGTGTAAAATGGACATTGTGTCCATTGTAAAAAAACAATATTTATAGCACCAAAACCATATAAAGAATAATCATAATAGTGAAATTTTGACAAGTAAGTTCACCATTGATAATACTGTCTCAATGAACACACCCTATCATCATTTCTCTGATTTTAGAAAACTAGAAATTTACTGAAGAAACCTGTATTCAGGCAGTAGAGTGCTGCTCCTTCCCTTATATTGATTCTAGTCAGGTGTCCCCATGTGTGTAGAGTAGAATTGTTCCATAGAGTTTTTGTTACATTGATTTTTAGATAGCATATTTTGACTACTCTATACAAACATAAGTAAAATGAAATAAAAATAGTTTCTAAGGCTGTGTGATATGTGAAAGAATGTCTCTATGCCTGTCTTCTCACCTTTAGGTAGATTCAACCATACAACATTAATGGTTTGCACTTTATTGCGACAGATAATCCAGAATTTTTTTAAGGAACAAACTATTAGAATATAAATAGCACTCCATAAGCTCATGTTAAAAAATGATTTGGACAGAAAATAATTTATGTTATATATATTTTCTCATAAATCTACAATAGGTAAAATCCACTTGCCAGTAAAATAATTTAAAAAAACAGTTAATGGGAAGGTGGGGCCAGGTATTGACTGGAAGTGGAATGAGGGAATTTTCTTGGGTCTTGAAAATTACTCATATCCTGAGGGAGGTAGAGTTGTACACAGTTGTCATTTTGTTCCCTGAATACTTAATTCATGTGCACCATAGTGTTACTAAATGATATCTCAATTCAATACGGCTGTCATATTCAACTTATATGATGGCATAACAATGAACGATTTTAGAGAAGTGCATATAAAATTAAATCTTTTACTCAGACATAAAACAAAATACAAGAGAAATCGTCTCTATACTCTGTATGTGATGGAGTCTTAAAATAACTAATATATATTGAAAATATAATCAAATATATTTGAGAAGTATATAAAGTTGATTATGCTTTTATAATAGCAGAAGGAGGGGAAGAGCTCATCTAGAATCATAGTGAATAACTTATTATATTTTTACACTCAGAAGCACACAAGTGTAACGCTGACAAGTTATTACATGATTAATGAAAGTTGCAAAGATAGGTATAGAGGATGTTTCTTTTTGATAAGCATATTGATGATAAGTTGTATATACAGCTATGAAATACATGAAAATAACCTGGATAACACTTAAAAAATGTATGAAAAATAGTAAGTTGTGCCAGAAACTTTATTTTATCATAAAGTACTAAGACTATAATACAGTAAATAAATTCCAGGGGGGAAAGCTTGCATCAGCAAAAGGTCCTATAAACATGACGCTAGGTTTCAAATATGTCTCTACTGATTATGGCTAATAGAGCTGTGCTAGCACAAAATGTGAAGCATTCTATTAAATAATACTGAAGTAGATTGTAATCAAGTTATTAATTAAGTCAGGTACCACTTTGTACGAGAAAAGAATGTTCAGTAATGACTTAATCTAATTTTGCAAACATCAAACACTGTATCGTTCTTCACTAAATTACTTGATACATTGTTGAAAAATCAAAGTTAAAATAGATTGGTACACCTGTAAAACTAAGATATATTTAATAACGGTACATCTTTTTACTAATTCTATCCAGATTACAAAGCGACTCTGAGGGCATAGGCACTTACTCGTTAGACTGCTTAACCCCACGGTCAGCAGTTGCAGAGTGCACCAACCACTTTGTGGGCGAAAGGTGAGGCTTTCTTCTCTTCTGTCTTAAGAGGAGAAGATGCCGGGTCCTATGATCCTCATCGGACAACTTGTACTCAGTTTCCATCTAGCCCTTGGTGAGCCAGGCTTTTTCCTATAAACTACTGGGACTTTAGAGTCTGTCCTTTTGTGCCTCTTAGCAGTCTTGATAAGCCGTATTAGAAAGATTTGATGTGCAAATCCCACTAATCAACTGGACTTTACATCAAAGTCACCTGGAGCAGATTTAAGGAACTGCTAGACTCCATTGAACTGAAGACTGCAAGACACCAATGTGAGGAGAAGCAAGTTGTTACAATCTCAAGGGCATGGGAATGGTAGTCATTAGTGCAGGTCTCTTTCTTTGAGGGTTCCCAGGGAAAGGGGGCCTGGGACGACCACATAGTTATTATGTCAATGCTCGCCTTGCCGCTTTTTGATGTACATTACTCTGATAGGATGCTTCCAGCTCTGTGAATCTGTGGTATTGAATGTTTTGCCCTGTCATCAACCCCTATTGTTGGTGTGAATAGCTCCCAGTCACATAAGCATTTAATCTGCACAATCAATAATTCATGAATTTCAGTTTGAAAAGCCAGACAATACATGTATAATTTACTCTACTGCAGTGTTTTAAATTCTGTACCAGTGACTAAATTAATAATACTATGAAGATAATTGCTTTATGCCCCAGGGATGATTTATAGCATTCTATATAATAAAATGATAATGATATCTTTAAAGTGAACCAGAGACATATATAAAACATAAATATGTTCATGAATTTGGGGCATGCATTTAATTCTAGCCCCCATCTGAGAACAACTGGCTCTTAAGTGGCCCTACTCAATGCTTGCCCTTATAAAAAGATGACTGAAGACTTGGGTGCTATAGGTGATGAAGAAAGAGACAGTGACTTGCTATCTGAAAGAGAAGAATCTGGAGTCTACAGCCTTGTCTACAAACAAGCAAGCGAAATCCACATGGAAGAAACACACCAGTCTGTGTAATCTAAGGATTGTAAATAATAAAATCCAAATCAAAAGGAGGAAACACTATCCGAGCTTAAATTGTCAGCGGATATAGGTGACAGTGGAAAAGCAGATGCCATATGCAGGGTTCCCACATGGATTAATCCTCAGCGAGTCCCCTCTGAGCACAGTCAAATGATTTGGATAGCCTTGCTTTCGGGCAGACTAGTGTGAAGTTGATAATAGCAGAGGTAGCTAGGTTAATGTGTGATTCCTTATCATTTGATCTCTCTTTTGATCCACATTAAAGTTGTTTCAGCTTTTAATATTTCTGCTTTCTTTTCCATTGAGGTTTTTCTCTGTTTTTGTTTTTACAGTGTTGTTGTTTAGTTTTTGTTGTTGTTCACTTCCTATTTGTGTTATGTGTGATTTTCTGTATGTGAAATTGAGGATAGGTAAATATATAAAGATAATAACTGAATTAATAACTACCTGGGGTCATGCCAGGGAAGGATGGGGGAAATGGAACTAAAAACAATGAATACTAGAACTAAAATGATTTGAAATTTTTGCAAAACACTTCTTAACATAATTTAACTATTAAGTTGTATGATATGTAAATTTTGATCCCATAAAACTAATTTTTAAAAATCCTAGGGAATAATTCCACTCAGTCCTGTAGGGTCTCTATGAATCAGTGTGACTCAGTATATTCTTTTCATCTTTCAGAGTCACTGTACCAGAAAGAACTATTGGACATCCCACCATTTCTAGCATATGAGCAAAAACCAATGATACTGAAAGAAGTACAAAATGCACTGAATGCATTAGCAAAAATAAATTTCAAAAAAGCCTGCAGGAACTGATGGAATCCCTATTGAAATGTGTCAGAAAGCTGAAGAAGCACTGGAAACACTCACTTATCTATGCCTGGAAATTTGGAAGATAGCTACTTGGCCAACTGACTGGAAGAGATCCATATTTGTGCCCACTCCAAAGAAAGGTGACCCAATAGAATGCTCAAACTTTATAATGATAATATTGATATCGCACACAAGTAAAATCGTGTGCAAACAATGGTTGCAGCAGTACATTGACAGGAATGCCAGAAGGTCAGGCCAGATTCAGAAGAGAATATGGAACAAAGGATATCATTGCCGATGTCAGATGACTCTTGGCTCAAGCAGTGCATACCAGTAAGATGTTTACCTGTGTTTCATTGACTATGTAAAGACATTCAACTGTGTGGACCATAATAAACTGTGCATAATCTTGAGAAGAAAGGGAATTCCAGAACACTTAATTGTGATCAGTTGGGATTTGTACATGGATCAAGAGGCAGTTGTGCGATAAGAACAGGGAATTGTGCAGGGGTTAAAATCATGAAAGGTATGTGTCAGGGTTATATTCTCTCACCATATTTGTTCAATCCTTCGGCTGAGCAAATCATCAGAGAAGCTGAATTACGGAGTATGGCATCAGGACTGGAGAAAGGCTTATTGACAAACTGTAACATGCAGATGACAACCTCGTTTGCTAACAGTGAGGAAGAGTTGAAGCACTTGCTGATGAACACCCAGGATTGTGGCCTTCATTATGGATTACAACTCAATGTAAGGAAGAATAAAATCCTCACATGAGGAACAAGAGGTAACATCATGGTAAATGTAGTAAAGATTAAAGTTATCAAGGATTTTGTCTTTCTTGGGTCCAAAATCAATGTTTATGGAAGCAACAGTTATGAGACCAAAGACATATTGCATTAGGTAAATTTGGTGCACAAGACCACTAAAAGAGTTGAAGAGCAAGGATATTACTTTGAGGACTGTGTTAGACAGGGTTCTCTTGAGAAACAAAACCAGGATGCTAATAATTTTATATATATTTATACAGATAGATATATAACATCTGAAATAAACATTTAATTAAATTATAAAGCAGACTCACACCCTGGCGCAGGAGGCGGGCGGCCGGGCCCCACCGGCCCCCCATGGACGCCCCCGGCTCGGGGCGCTGAGACCCCTGCGTCGCTGCCCAGCTCAGTCCAGCGCGCCACGCCGAGGGACTCCAGAACAGGACAAGACTGCGGACCTATCACCACCCCCCAGCCCCAGTCTAGGACACCCCACCCTCCCCATAGATCCAACTTGCCCCCCAGCTCTCTCTGCCCCTCCCTGGCCCCTCCCACTGCCCGCCCCCCCTTGGGGCGCAGGGCATGGTGTGAAGGCCAAGTGCTTAGGTGGGCACCATGGGTGCTGTGCCCTAGGGCCCGGGTGGTGGGGGTGGGTGGCCTGTGGGTGTGCCGGGGGGGGGCCCGTGTGCCCACCCCAGTCTCTTGGCGTGCTGGAGTGCATCCTGGATGGGATTAAAGTGAATGGAACAGAAGCCAAGCAAGCTGGAGTGTGGGTCGGACCCAGAGGAGAACAGTGCCAGGTCCCCCGATGGAAAGCGAAAAAGAAAGAATGGCCAATGTCCCCTGAAAACCAGCATGTCAGGGTATATCCCTAGCTACCTGGACAAAGACGAGCAGTGTGTCATGTGCGGGGACAAGGCAACCGGTTATCACTACCGCTGCATCACTTGTGAAGGCTGCAAGGGCTTCTTTCGCCGCACAATCCAGAAGAACCTCCACCCCACCTACTCCTGCAAATATGACAGCTGCTGTGTCATCGACAAGATCACCCGCAACCAGTGCCAGCTGTGCCGCTTCCGGAAGTGCATCGCTGTGGGCATGGCTATGGACTTGGTTCTAGATGACTCAAAGCGGGTGGCCAAGCGCAAGCTGATCGAGCAGAACCGGGATAGGCGGCGGAAGGAGATGATCTGCTCACTGCAGCAGCGGCCAGAGCCCACTCCTGAGGAGTGGGACCTGATCCACGTCGCCACGGAGGCCCATCGCAGCACTAACGCGCAGGGCAGCCACTGGAAGCAGAGGCGGAAATTCCTGCCGGATGACATTGGCCAGTCCCCCATCGTCTCAATGCCGGACGGAGACAAGGTGGACCTAGAGGCCTTCAGCGAGTTTACCAAGATCATCACCCCAGCCATCACCCGTGTGGTGTGGTAGACTTTGCCAAAAAACTACCCATGTTCTCTGAGCTGCCTTGCGAAGACCAGATCATCCTCCTGAAGGGGTGCTGCATGGAGATCATGTCCCTGCGGGCGGCTGTCAGCTACGACCCTGAGAGCGACACTCTGAAGCTGAGCGGGGAGATGGCTGTCAAGCGCGAGCAGCTCAAGACGGCGGCCTGGGCGTGGTCTCTGATGCCATCTTTGAACTGGGCAAGTCCCTCTCTGCCTTTAACCTGGATGACACAGAAGTGGCTCTGCTGCAGGCTGTGCTGCTAATGCCAACAGACCGCTCTGGCCTGCTGTGTGTGGACAAGATCGAGAAGAGTCAGGAAGCCTACCTGCTGGCGTTCGAGCACTACGTCAACCACCGCAAACACAACATTCCGCACTTCTGGTCCAAGCTGCTGATGAAAGAGAGAGAAGTGCAGAGTTCGATTCTGTACAAGGGGGCAGCGGCAGAAGGCCGGCCGGGCGGGTCACTGGGCGTCCACCCGGAAGGACAGCAGCTTCTTGGAATGCATGTTGTTCAGGGTCCGCAGGTCCGGCAGCTTGAGCAGCAGCTTGGTGAAGCGGGAAGTCTCCAAGGGCCGGTTCTTCAGCACCAGAGCCCGAAGAGCCCGCAGCAGCGTCTCCTGGAGCTGCTCCACAGAAGCGGAATCCTCGGTGCCCGAGCGGTCTATGGGGAGGACGACAGCAGTGAGGCAGGCTCCTCCTCAAGCTCCTCCTCTGACGAGGACCCAGAGGCCAGCGAGGACCCAGCCAGCAAGGTGGCCTCCCTCCCTGAAGCCCCTCAGGGGGCCCCCTCCGGAGAAGGAGGAGAAGAAGGAGAAGGTAGGAGCGACTACCCCTCCTCCTCCCAGGCCTCTGCCCAGAAAGCAGGAGGTACCTGATGACTCGACCTGGTCTCCTCCCACCCCTCCAGCCCACTCTCCTCCTTCCCAGAATAGGCCCCCCATGGCGCCAGGCTCCCTTGTTGTTGGCCCTGTAGTTCCCGCTGCCTGGGACGCCCTTCCTCTGCCTGGCAACATCATACTTGTCCTTTGAAGCCCCACTTCAGTGTCACCTCCTCTCCCAGCTCCCCCCAGGCGGAAATAGTTGTCTGCGCTCCTAAAGCCCTCCCTCGGTGCCTGCTTCTACTGTGACACTTCTCCCACTGTTTTATAATTAGTTGGGCATGAGTCTTGTCTCCCAAGCTAGACTGTGTCTTAATCGTGTCTGTATCTCTAGCGCCTGGTGCAGGGCCTGGCATAGCGTAGGGACTCCATAAAAGGTGTGTTGAATTGAAAAAAAAAAAAAAAAAGCAGTACAAATGACTCAGTGCAACTCACTCCCGTGAGACAGCTGTGAGACACTGGCAGTCCTTCAAGTCTTTAGGGCCGCTGGGTAGTCCTCTGTAGAGCAATTATGCTATCAGTGCACAGGCAGCAAACAGCAAGTCACCAACAGTTAGCCAGATGACAGGGTCTGACAGTCCCCAGCTCAAGAGATGTGAATTCCAATGGTGTGGTGAAGCAGGTCTTGAAGGAACCTCAAATTACAGTGACACAGTCCACGGGTTAGGTGTCCCACAGGTAGTGTAGCTTGCAAATTGAAGAACAGAACAAACAAAGCAGCTGCACAGTCCTCCAATGTTCAAAGAGCAAGAGACAAAAAAGGCAAGGCTCGCCGAGCCATTTATCTCCCACCCTTCAATTAATCCTACATGTGTTTATCAGTCAGGTTGGCACAATAAACTAACTACCTCAAGGACTAAGGTGCACCTGACCCGAACCATGATTTTTTCCATTACATCATATGCATGTGAAAGTTGAACATTGAAAAAGGAAGACCGTAGAGGAACAATTACATTTGAATTGTGGTGCTGTAGAAGATTGTTGACAGTAACATGGACTGCTCAAAGGACAAACCCATCTGTTTCCGAAGAAGTGAGGCCAGAGTGCTCCTGAGAGTCAAGGATTGTGAGACTTCATCTTACATACTTTGGACATTTTGTCAGGAGAGTCCAGTCTCTGGAGAAGCACATCATGTCTGGTAAAAGGTAAGGGTGGTGAGAAAGAGTAAGGCCCTCAAGGACATGGACTGACCACAGTGGCTGCATCTGTGGGCTCAGGCATCAAAACAATTGTGAGGAGGATCATGCAGGAATGTAGTGCTTTACTCTGTTGTGTATAGGGTTGGTATGGGTTGGAGCTGACTCGATGCCACCTAATACCTATTGCTGTGAACAGGCTAACAAATTCTAACCTTCAAAGAATCATTATCCTTCTCACTGTAATCTATGCCTATGCACATCCACTTGTAACTTCTTAGCACACCCTTTATGATGGCTGCTACTAAATATACATTATTTTCATTTTCAATTAGCACTCCATTAATAAATCCATGTCCTATTAATAAGAAGTCATTTCAAACTTTTTCTTTTCTCCATCCACTTTTAGCTGTTGAACTCAATATGTCATCCATAGAAGTCAATAAATTATCTGATGAGAATGCTGTGTGTCCCATTTTTAAATCAGAAGATAATGTGCATATATACCTATATGTTCTACCTTGCTGTTGCAATGAATGCATGCCCCATGGTTGGCTCCTATAACTTACACGCTTGATTTTTCCTCTTACTTCCTGGGATGTCCCTTATGCCTCATAACTAGAACTTTTCTCCTTGTGTTCTATAATGTTTAGCCTTTACCATGTCTTTTTAATCTGTCTGGGAGCCATACATATGCTAATGACTTCCAAACTATCATCATTTCCTGGTTTTCCTGACAAATTCACAACCGCTAGTTTTAAATAAAATTCAAAACTTCACCTTCATATTTTCTGGACCACGTATATGCTGCAGCAGTAACATCAACAGAGAGCTGTCACTGAGTTAAGCTAGATTCAGAAGACATGGGATGTGGGATACCTAGCTGACACCAGCTAGACCTTGAGTGAAAGCAGACAATATAGGAAAGATGTTTACGTAGCTTTTATTGACTCTGAAGATGCACTTGATTGTGTGAATCATAGGTATCATACTTGGATAATCAATACCAAACGCATTGCCTTCAAGTCAATTCCAAATCAAAATAAGCATATAAAACAGAACAGAACTATTTACAGGGTTTCCAAAGCTGAAAATCTTTATGGAAGCAACAGTAACATTTTTCTCCCATGGAGTGGCTGTTGGGTTCAGAATGCCAGCCTTTTGATTGGCAGGAAAGCATTTAATTCAGTATTCCTTATATTATAGTTACAAGTGCTTTATCAGATATGTGTTTTACAAATATTTTCTACGTGTGTGGCTTGTTTTATTTTCATTCTATTGACAACATATTTAGTGGCACATGGATTTCATTTTAATTAAACTTAATTTGTCATTTATTTTCTTGTTTATGCATCAGGCCTTTGGTATTTTATACAAGCTGTCATCTTCAAACCCTAAATCCCCACGCTTTTTAAGTTGTTATTTTAAAGTTCTATAGATTTAGTCTTACATTTAGAACTATCATGAATTTGTAATCAATATCTTTTTATATGTGTTTGTCTAATAAGTAAAGTTTTTGTCTTTAGTTCACTTTTAAAAGTGCATGCATGTTATATATTCAGCTTTCCTTTTCAGAAGAATAGTATGTATTATACATTGTCAGTAGAACTTTCAATTCTTATTATTGTTGAAACTAAAATGATTACACTTTGAATAAGGAAAATGTCAAGATGATAATGGTGCACAAAAGATACTAATTACAAACCTACTACTCAATATTTGGGAAAATATTATATATGAAGATTAAAAGTATTAATAGGAATATTTAAAATTTTGCTTACTTACAATATTGAAATGTTGTAAGTTGAAATGTTGAAACATATCTAAATATCTCATGCAAACTAAAGACAGTTTGAATTCCTGGAATCAAAATTTATTTTGTTTGAGTTAATACAACTTTATAGTCTGCAAATTAGTGTGATATTGCCCAGTGAGATTAATTGGTTTTCCCATGATATCTTATAGAACATTGTGAGAGAAAATATTTCTAGCTCCCACTTCATATCATATTATACTCACTTGATTAATTATAGGGGTATTTGAATTCATTTGAAATATCTTATTTGTGAGCTATTTCTTTGAAATATCTTATTTGTGAGCTATTTCTTCTGATATATATATAAAATTTAGGCACCAAGTTTGAAATCTGGACTAATCCAATGTTTCACATTGAATAATTCATAATAATAATATTCATGTTTCACATTGAATAAAGTCAAGGAAATAAGAATTTCTGAAAACAGTATTATAGTTTTATTTGCTAAAATTTCAGCAAACTATTTCATGGATGATAGTGAAGATGGAAAATTAAAAATTGACACTACACACACTAGTTGTTATGGATTCAATTTAATCTCCCCAGGTATGTGCTATAAACCCTATCCTACCACTCATATGGTCAGCTTGCTATATTCTGTTGCCTTAAATGATGCTGTAATACTGGAAGCAATGCCACCAGTATTTCAAATACCAGCAGGGTCACCCAGGGTTAACAAGTTTCAGAGGCGCTTCCAGCTAAACAGAGTAGAAGATCAAATAGCTGGTCCAGTTCAGAGAAATTAGTCACCAAAAACTATGCTCTTAACAGCCAGCCTTTTTATGGTATAGTGCCAGAAGATGAGGCTCTCAGGCTGGAAAACACTCCGACTATCACAGTGGAAGGCCTGTCTCCTAAATCAAAGTCAACTTTCACGATATGGGTGTGGCAAACGTTTGGGTTCCTTCATTTGCTGACATAGCATAACCCCAAATGAGAAGAAACAGTCTTAATCATTCGTTAAAAAATAGAACATAGAATATAGAAAGTATGAATCTGGAAAACTTGGAAGTTGCTAAAAATGAAAGAATCAGTAAAGATCAGTATTCTAGATATTAATTAGTGAGATGAAATGAACTGTTCTAGACAATTTTGAAACAAACAATAATATGGTCTGCATACCAGACTGGCAAGTGGAAGACAAGTGGTGTCTCATGTTCATCAAAGAGAACATTCACCACCTCTCCTGAAACACAATGTTATTAGTGATTAGATAATATGCATATGCCTACAAGGAGGAATGGATAATATGAATGCTATTCAAATTTACAAACTAATAACTAATGCCAATGCTGAGAAAATTGAAGAGTTTTATCAGCATATGCAGCCTGAAATTGATGAAACATGCAATCACTGTCCATTGATGATAATTACTGATGATTGGATGTAAAATTTGGAAGCAAAGCAGAAAGATTAGCAGTTGCAAACTATTGCCATGGTAATAGAAAGCAGAAATCACATGATAGGATTAGAAAAAATTATAATGATGTATTTATTTTATTTTTTATTTTTTAATGATATATTTATTGCAAATTATTTTTAACAGCATAAATGACAACTATACACATGGACCTCCATGGATGAAATATATAAAAATTAAATTGAATACATTAATGGAAAGACATAATGGAAAGGTCAATGTCATCAGTCAAAAATACAGCTAGGGGCCAACTGCAGAACAAATAACCAATTGCTCATCTACAAGTTAAACATGAAGAAATTTAATCTGCAAGATTAAAAATATGCCCTTGAACATATTCCACCTGAAATTACAAATGATCCCATGAATGAAATTGACACAATAAGCACTAATGACCAAAGACTAGCTGTCTTGTGGGATGACATCAAACAAATAATAGATGAATAAATCAAAAGGTCATTAGAAAGATTGGAAATTAGAAGAAAGACCAAAATAAATATCAGAAGTGTCATTGAAACTTCCTCTTGAACATCCCAAAACAACTCACTGCCATCTAGTCAATTCGAACTCATAGCAAATATATAGGAAGGTTAGAGCAACACCTCTGGATTTCATGGGAGTAGAA